TAATCGTCACTGGTGGCGGCTGTGAGCGGGAATCGATCTCGGGTCGCAGGGTTCATAGAGCAGCGCGCTAACTACCACACACAACAAAGATCAAGATCCCCCATATAGCCTTAACAGACTGTAGGGGCAAGTGCTGTTAGCGAGCACCTATGAAGGCCGCAACGGTAGACGAGGGGGTGGGTGGCCAGCACCACGCCCGACCGCCTTTGTCTCCCTAGTGGTGATGTTTACACACCACACCAGATACTCATTTGAGGCTGAGTCGACCTAAGGGAGGCCTGGGACCGGTTCAGATAATCGTCACTGGTGTTGGCCGTGAGCGGGAATCGTACTCGGGTCGCCGGGTTCATAGCGCAGCGCGCTAACCGCTACACTATCGCTCCCCACACACACACACGTACACACACACACGCATACACACACACACGTGTACACACGCACGTACACATGTACACACACACGTACACACACAAACACACACACACACGTGTACACACACAGGTGCACACACACAGGTGCACACACACACATGCGTACACACACAAACACGTGCACACACGCACGTACACGTGTACACACACGTACACACACAAACACACACACACACACGTGTACACACACACGTGCACACACACAGGTGCACACACACACCCGTGCACACACGCACGTGCACATATACACACACACGTGCACACACAAACACGTACACACACACGTGTACACACACACGTGCACACGCACACGTGTACACACGCACGTGCACATACACACACACGTGTACACACGCACGCGTGTATCATTGTGGATGCGCAGCCTCCCTTTGTAGTGGAATCTGGGTCACGCGGATGCCTCCCCAAGCGAGGCGTCAACTCGCCCAGCGATTCGTGCCAAAAATAATTCACCGCAGTGTTGTGCGCGTGTGTGTCTGTGTGTGTGTGTCTGTGTGTCTGTGTATATGTGTCTGTGTGTGTGTCTGTGTGCGTGTCTGTGTATGTCTGTGTGTGTGTCTGTGTGCGTGTCTGTGTATATATGTATGTGTGTGTATCTGTGTGTGTGTCTGTGTATGTCTGTGTGTGTGTCTATGTGTCTGTGTGTGTCTGTGTGTGTGTCTGTGTGTGTGTCTGTGTATGTGTGTGTGTCTGTGTATGTCTGTGTGTGTGTCTGTGTGTGTGTCTGTGTATGTCTGTGTGTGTCTGTGTGTGTGTCTGTGTGTGTCTGTGTATGTCTGTGTGTGTGTGACTGTGTGTGTCTGTGTATATGTGTCTGTGTGTGTGACTGTGTGTGTGTCTGTGTATGTTTGTGTGTGTGTGTCTGTGTCTGTGTATATGTGTCTGTGTGTGTGTCTGTATGTGTCTGTGTATGTCTGTGTGTGTCTGTGTGTGTGTCTGTGTGTGTGTCTGTGTATAGCTGTGTGTCTGTGTGTGTGTGTTTGTGTCTGTGTGTATGTCTGTGTGTGTGTGACTGTGTGTGTGTCTGTGTATATGTCTGTGTATAGCTGTGTGTGTGTATGTCTGTGTGTGTATGTGTGTCTGTGTGTGTGTGTCTGTGTCTGTGTGTGTGTGTGTCTGTGTGTGTGTCTGTGTGTGTGTGTGTATGTGGCGGCCGGGCGTGGTGGTGGCCACCCACCCTCTTGTGTGCCGTGGCGGCCTTCACAGGTGCTGCTCGCTAACAACACTTGCCCCTACAGTCTGTTAAGGCTATACGGGGGATCTTGTTTTTGTGTGTATCTTTGTTTTAATATGTGTGCGTGTGTCTGTGTGCGTGTGTCTATGTGCGTGTGTCTGTGTGCGTGTGTCTATGTGCGTGTTTCTGTCTGACAGAGGAGGTGTTTAGGACAGTTGAGAAAAAGCGACAGGCCCACTTTCATCGGACTCAGCATCCCACGTCAGAGAATGAGGAGGTTTACCGCAGCCTTCGCTCGGAGGTTCGGGAGAGGCGTAATGCGCTGCAAGGATGGGTGGTGGTCGCGGGTTGCTGAGGAGATGGAGTCTGCCTCAGTGGCCCGCGATCACAAATCGCTATTTAACTCCATAAAAAAGTAACCTGCAGCGCCACACCTATTACCATCATTAGGGGGGAAAACGGTGATCCAATCTCCGACCCCTAGGAACAGGTTTGCAGATTTGCTGAGCATTTCTGTGAGGTCCTGGGGGAGGGGAAATCCCTCAGCCAGGAAAACATAATGGCACAAAGTGGGGATAACCCTGCTAAGGCTGCGGTGCCTCAAATATTGGAAGAGGTCACCCCCCGTGAGTGGCTGGCTGAGGTGCCATCTGTCGAGGAAGTACTGAAGGCGATCGGAGTCTGAGACCAGGAAAGGCACTGGGCAGAGGTGATCTCCCAAGCGAAATGCTGAGGGAGGGTGGCGTTTGTGCACAGACTGCCCTATATGACATCATAACAACAGTCTGGACCACTGGACGGGTTCCGCAGGATTGGAAGGATGCCCTGGTGGTCCCCCTCTTTAAGAAGGGGGACCGCACAGACTGTACAACTACAGGGGCATCTCACTCTTCAGTGTGCCGGGAAAGGTCCTGGCAAGGATTATTCAACATCGCCTTGCTAGGCACGCTGAGGAGAGGCATGCGGAGCCCCAATGTGGTTTCAGGAAAGGGCGGTCCTGCGGAGATGCCATATTTTCTTCCCGTCTGCTACAGCAGAGGTGTAGGGAATTTCAACAAAACCTACATCTCTGCTTTATTGCTGGTCAAGGCCTATAATACCATCAGTAGGCCTGGGCTCTGGGTTGTTCTTCGTGCTTTCGGAGTCCCTGACCCTCTGCTCACGATCATTAAGGACCTTCATGATGGTGAGTGGGCCCGGGTAAAACTACGTGGCCGGGAGTCAGAGCCTTTCCCTGTACACCTTGGGGTGCGACAGCGATGTCCTCTGGCTCCTACATTATTTAACATCTATTTTGACCACGTAGTTCGTGAAGCCTTCAATCGCTGTACCGGGGGAATCTCCATTTGGTACAGATATAATGGGAGGCTGGTCGATGCCCGGGTGCGATCAAGAGATGGCTCCCTATTGGTCAACCACGTTATGTATGCCGATGATTTGGTAATAGCTGCTCATTCAGAGGAGGAGTTGAAGACTCTGCTGCTGAGACTGGAGCGTGCCACTAAGAGGTGGGGCCTTACCATTAGCCCCACCAAAACTAAGCACCTGCCTGGGTATTTTGTACCATCGGACACTCCACCCCCACAACTCCCAATCGGTGATGGGGCAGTAATGGAGAGAGTGGAGAGTTTCCCATATCTGGGCAGTGTGCTTATGACCGGTTCCAGTTTAACAGCAGAGGTATCACTCCCAATCAGTCGAGCGGCAATATATTTTCATCGGTTGCGTAACGCTGTGTGGAAGCTACCTGGTCTGTCGCTCCGCACGAAGCTTCAAGTCTTCTCGGCCACAGTCATACCCTCCCTTCTCTACGCTTGCGAAACGTGGACCCCCCCTAATAGAGCATTTTCGCCGGTTGGAAACATTTAGGCTGGCCTGCCTACGATCCATCCTGGGTTTAACCAGGCTAGATTGTGTGAGGAGCTCATAAATCCTTGAAAGATCTGGGCAAAGTCCCATCGGTGAGCTCCTCCGGCAGGCAAGGCTGCGCTGGATGGGTCATGTAGCCCACATGCCCAGTGATGTGGTACAGGAGGACGTGGAGCTGAGTGGACTTGCCGATGACTGGTACCAGGGGTGTCAAGATTGGCCTCTGTGGAGGAGGCTCGTGAAGGAAGCTACTGGGCAGTTGGAGGCAGTCGCCCTCCAGCAACAACGGAGGGCGGAGGAGCGACGCTCACAACAACGAGCGGAGCGCCGGGTTGCTAAAGCACAGGAAGTTGGCACAGTAGGGGGCACAGGTGGTGCATCAGCCAGTCATCTCGGTCATCTCAGTCAGTCGACCCGTGGCACCTGGGTCTGCCCCGTGACCTCCTGCCAGCGGGCGTTCGACACTTCACGTGGCCTCAAGGTGCACATGGCCTGGCACAAGCGTCGTGGTGACGTCACCGCCACTTAGTGGCGAATGGCGGTTGTTGTTGTTGTGTCTGTGTGCGTGTGGCTGTGTGCGTGTGTCTGCGTGTGCGTCTCGGTGTGTGCGCGTCTGTCTGTGTGTACGTGTCTGTGTGTGTGCGTCTAAGTGTGCGTGTGTACGTGTGTCTGTGTGTGCAGTATTGCAGCGGTTAGCGCGCTGCGCTACGAACTCGATGACTCCAGTTAGATTCCCGCTCACGGCCAACACCAGTGACGATTATCTGAACCGGGGTCCTGGGCCTCCCCTAGGTCGACTCAGCATCAAATGAGTACTTGTAGCGATGTGTAGTAAACATCGCGGCGAGGGAGACGGGCGGCAGGGCGCGGTGCCGGCCACCCACCCACCCCCTCGTGTGCTGCTACTCGCGAACAGCACTTGCCCCTGCAGTCTGTTACAGGCTGAACGCATGGAACAACCCAGACCGAAACACGATGGAGGAATTCACTTACTTAGATTTAGTTGTTGAGGGTGAAATCATTCAGCTCATCGCACGTTGTTACTTGATGCCATCTGCTGGACAATACTGAATTCAAATTCACCCAAAACTCCATCTGACACTCACTCTAAACTCTCACACTGTTGGGCTTAGGTTAGCATTATAGGTGAGGTCAGGGGTTGTGGGTTATGCGAGGGTGTAGGATGTAGGGTTATGTTTTGGTTGGACGTTAGGGTTTGTGGTTAGGGTTAACGGGTTAGAGTTATTGATGTATGGTTAAGGGTTTAAGGTTAGGGGTTAAGATTAATGGTCGGAGTTTAGGGTTAAGGATTTGGGTTCAGGGTCAGAGTTTAGGACTCGGGTTTTGGATTCGAGTTTGGGGTTCAGGATTCAGGGTTCGGGTATCGGTTGAGGATGAGGGGGTTCGGCTTCGTCTCAGTCGGCCTCCGTCAGCCTCCGTCAGCGTCGGTCGTTAACGCCGCACCACGTGGGAGCCTCGCCCGGGGGTTATTCCCAACCTTGCCTCACCCGACATCGTTCTGAGATGTAAATGTATGAACAGTGAACGTCACCAAATAGTTTAAGCCAATTGTCCATTTTGTGCGGTATCCTAACTCGCAAAATAACCGATTTTTAAAAAGAAGAATGGGTGGTTACCCTTTATGGCCATGAAACAGGAGGTCTTAAAGATGTTCAAATACCCAACAGACACCTCTTTGCAAGGCAATACGTGCTACATCAGCCACACACACAGACACTTCATCGCAAAACACGCAAAAAGACGTGTCTGATTACGCTGGTCTACAGCCAAAATGCTTCCGAAATAAATGTACTCCAACTTTACTAATTCTGGGTCACTGCGAATGGAAATGATGCTTAAAATTGTTGATTGGCTCTAGTTTCCAAGATATGCTACTGGGCCATTATATACGACCCTTGACTTGAGAATGGCGGAGGATAAGTGAGTTATAAAGGGAAGGGATCTGAATTTAAACCAGAAATGACTAAAATACATCTTCGACTGGATCTGTGAATAAATGTATGACTGGGTTTTGACAGGACTTACTTTCTTAGCAAAACAATGAATGATGCAATCTGAAACTGGTATTGCGTCATACATGATATGAATTGCATCATGTTATTCCTCGAAGTCATGGATGATGCCACCATAGCTCGGCTGACATCCCTCTGCTGAACAAGTTGCATCAGCTCGAGAAATCATAGATTGTCGTGCTCTCTTATAAGTTAATGTTTGATTTTGCAAAGGGGCACATTTCTGTTTAGCCAAAGTGAGCAGAGATGCCTCGTACTTGTGTGAACAAAGCAGATAACCTCTGCTATGTTTGTGGTGAAGTGACTTTTGCATCACAAAGCGCAGTATAACCACTATGGTTAAGAAAACCTAGCACCTTTATTGTGGTTGCAAAATTGGAGATCAGAACAAGATGTGCGCCCCACACATATAATGCAACACTTGCGAAACAAATCTTTGCCAGTGGTTGAACAGGAAAAGGAAATCTATACCTTTGCAGTGCCAATGATTTGGAGAGAGCCAACAGATCATATCAGCAATTATTACTTCTGCATGGTGCCTCCAGTTGGGAAAGGTGTGTCAAAGAAGAAAAAGTGGACTGTGCATTATCCAAACATTTCATCAGCTGTACGCCCAGTACCCCACTGAGATGGACTGCCGGTTCCTGATGCACCAGAATCATTCTCACTTGAGTCAGACGAGAAAGAGGATGAAACGTCTGGTCCTGAACCATCAAGGTCACATGACCCAGATTTTCTCCCATCCTCCTCATGTGAACCACACCTCGTAACAACAAGGTGAACTGAAAACCCGTGTCGGGGATTAAGGCAGAGCTGTTGGGCTCCAGACTGCAGCAGTGGGATCTCCTGGCAGGTAATGTTTGGGTTTCCATGTTCCGTGACCGTCAAAAGGATCTTGTCCCATTGTTCTTCCTGGAAGGTGATCTTGTAGCCTGCAACAACATCGATGGTGTGATGGCAGCCCTCAACATCGTTCATGATCCAGATGAGTTGAGGCTGTTCATTGATTAATCTAAGATGAGTCTTAAAGTTGTTTTGCTGCGTAATGGCAACGTTTTGCCATCAATTCCAGTTGGTCATGCAGTCCATATGAAGGAAACCTATGACAACATGAAACAACTTTTGAGGTGCATAAACTATGACCAACATCAGTGGTAGCTTTGTGGCGATTTGAAGGTTGTTGATCTCTTGCTTGGATACACAGAGTACTGCTGCTTTCTCTGCGAATGGGATAGTCGTGTGAGAGATTCCCACTACATCAAGATAGATTGGCCACTCCGACAGTCATTGGAGCCTGGTAGGAATAGTGTTCAGCATCCACCACTTGTTGAATCAATGAAGATGTTGTTACCACCCTTACACATCCAGCTGGGTCTGATGAAAAACTTTGTCAAAGCCATGGACACAACACCTTTCAAGTACCTGCGTGGAAAATGTCCAAGGTTAAGTGAAGCTCAGATAAAGGAAGGTGTCTTTGTTGGTCTTCATATTCGTGAACTTCTTCGAGATGATGCATTTGACATCGCACTGCGTGGCAAGGAAAAGACGGCATGGAACGCCTTCCAGTTAGTGGCAACACATTTTCTCGGAAACAACTCGGCAGACAACTACAGGGAGTTGGTGGAGAACCTCCTCAAGGCATGCAAAAGCCCTGGTTGCAACATGTCACTCAAGGTACATGTGTTTGCACTCTCATCGAGATTTTTTTCCCACGGAACTGCGGAGCAGCGAGCGACGAGCATGGCGAGCGATGTCACCAGCAGATTGCGACGATGGAGAAACGCTGTGAGGGCCAATGGAGCCCATCAATGCTTGCAGACTGGACAGTGACACGAGATGATCAATTTAATGAATGCAAGAGACAAGCCAAGAAGCGCCGAGTAGACACTGGATGAGGACTAAACTGTGTACTTATATATAAACATCATCGTTTTTTGCCTTTTGTTTGATAATACGTTTTATTCATATAACCCTTTTGCTGATTTTTAAAGTGTCACACGAACAGGACGGGTAACATGTCATCATGTAAAGCAACCATAAACACAATTTATGATTAAACTCCACTATCTACGCAATATACATGGAGGTAAAATGAAAAAGCTTAAATATCGTGGGAACAGTAGCCAATCAGTTTTGATTGTCATATTTGAATTGCGCACAGCAAAATCCGTAATAAGCAGCACGTCGCCTCTCTGCAGCAGACGACGTCTAAACCAATTGTAGACCTTTGTGATAGACACGCATTGTCCTTGACACGGATTGGCCTCACAATAGTTGCATTGGCTGGATAGGCTCAAACCGATTCTTAATTTCTCATAATTTGTGGATGCTGGCAACAACACAAATGCCAGGTAGATGTAGCGAAGTAACTGCAAACGAATATAAAGTACATTCAACGGACGCTCCCCATGCTTGGAAGACCGCATTGTTGACGATCAACGAGTTTATCAAAATTATTTTTCGTATCGTTCTCGGGGGATTTCACTCCGGGTTCCTCCGGGATTTCCCCTCCACACTTGTTAGAATCAACATCGCCACGCGCGTCGAGTGATTTGGCTGCTGCTATGAATTTCCACGCGATGATGAGAAGCCACTTCGTTGAACTACAATTTGTGATAACCAAGTCGCTTCTGAGAAAAGAGAGCTACATAGCTCAGTGAATACCTTACACCTGGTAAATAGTTTATATTTTAGACCTAATTAATTTACATTTTATTTTACTATGTTCATTGTGGGTTTTTTGCTTAGATTATTTTAAATTTATTATAATTATTTTTTAAATTGTTATTTTCTATCTACGTGACTCACCGAAGTTACCAAGACTATAAATAGTTTATAGTTGTATTGTAATGAATGGTTACACGGCGCCCTCTGGCGGACACGTGCCTGCTAGTCTTTGTATGCCAGTGGGGAGCGGTGGCGCAGCGGTGAGAGCGCTGGAGATGCGGACCCTGACGGAGCCTCGTTCACGCTCACGGCCGACACCAGCGACGAATATCAGAACCTCCTCCTCCTCCTCGGTGGACTCGGCCTCGAATGAGTACCTGGTGCGGTATGGAGTAAAGCATCGCCACTGGGGAGACAAAGGCGGCCGGGCGTGGTGCTGGCCACCCACCCCCTCGTGTGCCGGTCTTCATCGGCGCTGCGACTCGCTAACAGCACTTGCCCCATCAGTCTGTCAAGGCTATACGGGGGATCTTTGTCTTTTAATTACCAGTTAGGCAGCATATTTGTTTGGTAATTGATAAACGTGGTGAGTCATTGATAATTATCAAGAGATTAATTATGTCATGTTATGTTGACAATAATCAATAGTGTGATTTATTCTTTATTTTAGCACCGTATGTGCAACCAAAACGTAACGTTTGTTTTAATTATTCCAAACAACGATTGAATTATCGTCTCCAATTAAGGTCGTACACGTGAAGTTATTTAAATTAATGTGGACTTGACGTGTGTTGTTGTAGAAGTGACAATACATGGCAAATGCCCCTATTTACGTTTTCCCCGTTTTAAGTCGTTTCACAAATCCGTCGCCACTCGACTGACACCACGACCCGATTAGCGTCGCCTCCCCCCCCCCCCCACGTCGCCTCCACCCCCCCACGTCGCCCCCCCCCCACACCCACGTCGCCTCCCCCCCCCCACGTCGCCCCCCCCCCCCACACCCACGTCGCCTCCCCCCCCCCACGTCGCCTCCCCCCCCCACGTCGCCCCCCCCCCACACCCACGTCGCCTCCCCCCCCACCCCACGTCGCCCCCCCCCCCACACCCACGTCGCCTCCCCCCCCCCACGTCGCCTCCACCCCCCCCCCCACGTCGCCTCCCCCCCCCACGTCGCCCCCCCCCCCACACCCACGTCGCCTCCCCCCCACCCCCACGTCGCCTCCCCCCCCACCCCCACGTCGCCTCCCCCCCCCACGTCGCCCCCCCCCCCACGTCGCCTCCCCCCCCACCCCCACGTCGCCTCCCCCCCCACCCCCACGTCGCCTCCCCCCCACGTCGCCTCCCCCCCTACACCCACGTCGCCTCCCCCCCCACCCCACGTCGCCTCCCCCCCCCCACGTCGCCCCCCCCCCCCACGTCGCCTCCCCCCCCACCCCCACGTCGCCTCCCCCCCCACCCCCACGTCGCCTCCCCCCCCACCCCCACGTCGCCTCCCCCCCACGTCGCCTCCCCCCCCACCCCCACGTCGCCTCCCCCCCCACCCCCACGTCGCCTCCCCCCCACGTCGCCTCCCCCCCCACCCCCACGTCGCCTCCCCCCCCCCACGTCGCCCCCCCCCCCCACGTCGCCTCCCCCCCCACCCCCACGTCGCCTCCCCCCCCACCCCCACGTCGCCTCCCCCCCACGTCGCCTCCCCCCCCACCCCCACGTCGCCTCCCCCCCCACCCCCACGTCGCCTCTCCCCCACGTCGCCTCCCCCCCCCACGTCGCCTCCCCCCCCACCCCCACGTCGCCTCCCCCACGTCGCCTCCCCCC